ACCACTTCAACAACTTGTTATTAAAAATGCTTTCTTGAATGGAGAATTAGAAGAGGAAGTTTTCATGACTTTACCACCTCGGTTCAGTAAAGCTGATGAAGGAAATAAAGTATGCAAACTTAAGAATTCTCTATATGGACTCAAACAGTCACCAAGGGCGTCGTTTGATAGATTCACAAAGGTGTTAAAAGGTCAAGGATATCGACAATGACAGTCAGATCATACTATGTTCTATCAACACTTCGACGATGGAACCAAAACAACTTTAATTGTATATGTTGATGATATTGTTCTAACGGGAGACAATGTAGTGAAAACTGAAAGACTAAAGAAATGCCTTGCCATCGAATTTGAGGTGAAGGATCTGGGACAAATGCGATACTTCTTGGGAATGGAGGTGGTGAGATCAAAAGGTGGAATTAATGTTTCACAACGAAAGTATGTCATTGATCTCTTAACAGAAATAGAGATGTTAGGTTGTAAATCGAGTGATACACCTATCGAAGCAGGAAAAAGACCTGAAGAGGATGGAAAAGAAGTGGAGAGAGATGGTACCAAAGACTGGTTGGAAAGTTAATATACTTATCACACACTAGACCTGATATTGCATTTGTAGTAAGCCGTGTAAGTCAATATATGCACTCACCAAAAGAAAGTTACTTGGAAGCAGTCTATAAGATACTGAGATACCTCAAGGGATCCCCAGGAAGGGGATTTTTTTCAAGAAAAGTGAAAAAAACCGGAGATTGAAATCTTTACAGATGTAGATTGGGCAGGTTCAATAAAAGACAGAAGATCAACTACTGGCTATTGCACCTATGTGTGGGAAAACCTGGAGGAGTAAGAAACAAAATGTGGTTGCCAGAAGTAGCCCTGAAGCTGAATTCAGGGTTGTAGCATAAGGAATATGTGAAGGGCTGTGGTTGAGAAAACTCCTAGAAGAATTGCATGTTAAAGCAAAATTTCCCATCAAAATCTTTTGTGATAACAATGCAGCAATCCATATTTCACTTAACCCAATCCAACATGATCGTACCAAACATATAGAAGTTGACGGACACTTCATAAAGGAGAAAGTTGAGGAAGGAACCATTTGCATGACTTATGTTCCTACACAAGAGCAAGTTGCAGATATCTTTATTAAGGGACTACCTCGTCGAAGCTTCAACGATTTCATATGCAAGTTGGAAATAATTAATATCTATGATCCAACTTGAGGGGGAGTGTGGAAACCGGATCCTATCAAATAAAGATAGGAACCAAATTGATTGTAGAATATTTACATTCCATAATTGGTGATAGGTATTGATTTCTTTCTTATCTTAGGAGAGTATATTTTTTTCCCCCTTATTTGCCAACTCTTGTACACTTTAAATTGTAAACCCTTTCATTGTATAATTAATTATGAAATAAAAGCACAATTCATATTTCATCATATGGTCCTTCCAACTTCAGACCAATGAACTAGAGCTCATTTCTGTATCTGCGACAAATACTTTCTTTATTACGAAGTCTCCTAATTCTTCTTGCAAACTTTGCAATTGAAATATCTTTCCATCATTTTCCAGTATGCAGCGAGCTTAGCTTGAGAGTCATCTCGCCTTTCCTCTAAGAGATCTAGATTAGCGCGTGTAGCTTCCTCATTTTGCTCTTCATCATATTATATTTTTCTTGCCGAACTTACTCTGATTTCAACCGATACTATGGCTACCATAACATAGACTATATAGAAAAGGTATTTTTTCCTTCATATAGTGGTTTTCATGATAGTTTGGTATGACCATAGGATCTGTGGAACTTCATCGACCTATAACCCATTCGCCATATCTTTGTATTCAATCAAATGCTTCATCCTATAGCACATTTTTTGTACTTTCATTATCTACGTATGTGTGGTAAAAACATTCGCCATCTATAACTGCCTAGATCATGAGTAACTCATCTTCAGCGCTTGTGTTTTTTTTTTCATTTTTAGGCTCAATTGATTTGATTGAAAAAGTTAGAGAGTGTGGATTACCTATTTTCCCAATGGTTTTTGAAGCTATAATTCTTTTAGTACATTTTATCTTTCAGGTTTTGTATTTTTACACATAGAGCAACGTATTCTAACGTCAATGCCTTGAGGTCCTCCGCCTTCTTCTTTTGCAAATGACAAAGCTGAGTGAAGAACTAATTTTCTCGTAGTTTCTCTATGATATCCTCTCGATGATGCTTTGAGTTTACCTTTGCATTGGTTAGGACACCACCGATCTTTCGGCTTTTATCCTCTGATGCTTTAGCTACTACTTGATTTTCCTTTGCTTGGCTTATTTTTACAGATATTAAGGAATCCTCCATTTTAATAGACTAATTCTTAATTTTTTTTGGTTTATACTTCTCTCATACGGCGCCAATTTGTCGACGATAAAAATTATATCAACTTGTTCCTCTCACCTTGTCTGGATTTTCACCTCCTTAACTCAACTGTTTTGATGCTCAAACTTGAGTAAGAGGAGAAATGGCTTTTGTGATGTAAATATTTGAATTTTACATGGATTTTTTTATGTTAGGTGGGATTATTTATATATTTTCCTCAAGGTTTTGGGACAATCCAATCATTGAAAGAAATTTGATAGATGACCTCTTATTGGCTAGTTTGTAACCCAGTCTATTATAATATCAAGTTTTAGTTATTAGCTTACGTGTCTTGCATTCATTGACTATGAAGTCATGATTTAAACACTCACCTACATGCACCTTAATAACGATTTTTGGTCAGCTTGGATCGAGGAATGACTCACTTATATTTTGTGTGAGCCTTTCATGCATTTATATCCCGCACATCACTTATGTCTCGCAAGTAGAGGATGAAATTCACGGAGTGTATTCCTTGGTTCAACACCACTGAAACACAATTTGTGAACAATATTCTATAAGCAATATACGCATTTGAAAAAAAAAAAATCTACACTGTTTCAAATTTATATCATTGCAGAATAATACAAATACAAATTAAATAATTTAAAAAAAAAAATTGGAATCCGCACCCCCGCCCCCCAAAAAAAAAAAAGATGGAGGACGAAAATGAATGATTCTTTTTCTTTTTTAATTTTGACTTTTAATTATATATTTGTGATTAATTTGTAATATTTTGAAAATTTAGGACTATTGTTGCAATTAATTATTTATCATTTCATTTTTGTTTTATTTGAATCGGAGGGTAAAATCGTCTTTTTATTAAAAAATGGATGAAAAAGACTTATTGCGCAATGACATTTGAAAATAGGAGCGAAAATACCAAAAAATGAAAAGTAGAGACGTTTTTCATAATGACATTGAAAAGTAAGAATGTTTTATGCTATTTGCCCTATTTCTAAAAGCACTAATTACTAGTGCCATTGTCTTTACCTAACATAGTATGGAAAAAGAGTTACACTACACTGACAAAGGGTGTTAACAAAATTTGATAACAAAATCACATTAATACCAATTATTTCAAAAGTAGATTTTTAAATCGTTTGAAATTAATGGCCTGAATTTTGCCAATACTTTTATAAATCAACTTTGTACAAGTAACTTTATTGATGGAAAATAGATACTGCCCATATCCATGTCCATGTCTTTTTCCTCTTCTTCTCTTATCCAATTATGTTTCTAATTTTTTTTTTTTTTTCATGCATCAAGTAATATAGACAACTATTATGCAAATAACGATCTATCTTGTAACAGCAAATACAAATACAATGTATAGAATTTTGTTGGTGCTACATCAATCAACGATTAAAGATTGAAGTACCATTGATCATACTTAACAAAATCAATGATGAGATTTTCCTTAGTAATTGCTATCGGAGTTCGTCAGTGATCATTGATGGTATTGTTACTTATAATTCCGTCTGAATCTCCCATACATATCGATCTCCGTCATAATCTTTCTTATAATACCGTTGACAATCACTAAGTAAACTTTTTGTAGTGATTATTTACTGCAATGACTTTCTTTTCTATTATTTTTGAAATATCAACTCATCGATTTTGCCTAAGACTACCCCAAGTTTCTCGCTCGCGTTCTATATTATAGTCACAAAATACAATAACTAAATACAACATACACACGAAAGTTGACGGAAAATAATGAAATAGACAATTTATTGAGATAAATTTTAATCATATGGTTTTAGTTTTAATCTTTTTTATATAATAACATATATATCTAGTCAACATTGATTAAAGAATGCTGAGCAGTATAGCAAAGTACCAGAAAATTTCTCATTTTTCAGAGAAAAAATAAGAAAAATCATATAAAAATGAATATGAAATAAAATATAAAGATGTAATTCTACTAAATTGACGAATAATTATTTTTAAAAAGAAATATTAGTTACTAAAGGTAAATTATAAGTTGATTCAAATCTTTGTTCACTCTGTCGTATTTGCATCAATTTGTTGTTGTACTTTTTCGCTGTAAAACGATGCTATTGTACTATTAGTTTGACTTTAACTAGGGATTTGAACAAAGGAATTAATCATTATTATTTGGGGATGCTATGTGTACATAATATTTTGTACATAATGGTGTCCTCCATTCACATGATGGACCCTACAAAATATTATGTACAACAAGATAAATTCTTATTATTTCCCTATAGAACACCAATTTTAGAGATTGAAATGATACATTGAGAGTCATTTTTTTAAACTGGGATTTGTAAATTTAGTATATATATACATTTTTTTATGAGAATGGAAACAGCTTTGAGATTGTTGCATCTCGTGTCTTGATTTTATTTGATACACTTCCATTTTTTCTTTTTGTTACTTTATATATTCGTTAAGAATTCAGGTTGTCACAATTGATATCAGAGCGGGTGTATATATATATATATATATATATATTAGTTGTTTTATTATTAATTACCTATTATTACCCCTACCACTACCGCCACAATTACTACCATTGCCGCAACCGCAGCCGTAACCACAACCACCACTATCACCAGGGGCGAATCTAGGATTTCGATTCAACTAGGGCGGCTTTGATCATTGGCCGTTGACTGTCGATAGTCAACAGCCATATAGCGATATTGTTTATTAATATTAAATTAAATAATATTAAAAATTCTTCGATCTATATATAAATATACTAAAACGTAAAAATCGTATATTTATATTATATTATATTTTCATACAATCCGAAATAATTTAAATTACATGATACATAAGATTTCTTTGTACTATAAATACTTGACAAATCATTTGCTTGACTAAAAATAGTTGAAAGTTTAGATACACCACTACAAGAACTAGATTGAAAATCAGTTGAAAAAATCATCCCATAATCAATATGAGAATTGAACGTTAATCAAAGATTAAGAGTAATTAAAATTAATTTTAAAATATAATTAAAGTTTTAATTTCCAATTCTCAACACCAATTCATCATAAATTATAAATTTCCCAATTTTTCATTATCAATTTTCATGAATCACATATTCATATTTCACGATACTCAAATTAATTTTTAATATCACAATTTACAGTAAACAAATTCTCAAATAAATTAAAACTCAATACTCATAAATAATATCTTATAAATTATTGAAGCATAAAATATTTAAAACGACGGAAAAAAACCCTTTCCTAAAGTCTTAACATATATTATTTTGTTAAATTTAGATTCAAAATTCAACTATTGCCATGATAGTTAAGCTTCCAATTATCCTAATTCTAGAAGTTATAGGTTCGAATCCTCTCCTTAGGGAATTAATTTTTGTAAATATTGTAGAAATAAAAATTTTGCACAATAAAATGGAGGGGTAAAAATCGAACTCAAGACTCACAATATAAAAAAGGAAGCTCTAACCAACCAAATAAAATAAAGGTTTAAAAACAAAATGAATTACTAGTTATATAACCTAAAATTTTTATCTATTATTAAAAAAAAAAATAATAAAATAATTTTCTCCCCGACAAATCCAGTTAGGGCAGCCGCCCTAGCTGGCCACCTACTAAATCTGCCACTGACTATCACTATTATCACTACCACCCAAAACACTACCATCACCCCAACACTACTACTACCAAAACCATGGGCGGATCCAGGGACGGCTGGGTCGTGCTGCAGCAAGTCCCTTCGGTCCAAATGTCCATTAAAATAAAATAAAATTAAGGAAAATATTTATTTTTTTTAATGTGCAATATATATATTTTTTATACTTATTAGCCGGTGTTGAATTTTTTCTTGGATCCGCCACTGACCACAACCACCACTACCACAACTACCACCCCAACACTACCACCACATCCACAACTACCAACCCACCACTACCACAACCACAATCACAACCGTTACCCCCACCACTACTAAACCCACCACCACCATCCCGGCTACCCCCAAAACTACCACAACCACAACCACAACCACCACCACCACCACTACCACAACCAAAACCGCCCCCACCACCACCACTACCACTAGTATCAGTTCCACTACCATCACCACAACTACCACCACCCCCACAACTACTACCCCCACCAGTACCAGTACCACCACAATTACTACCTCTAACCATTATCACAACCACAACCACAACCATCACCACCACCACAACCACTATTACCACGTGTACCACTACTACTCCCACTACCACCCCCACGACTAATACCAATATTTTTGATTAGCAAGCTAATTTATAAAAATTAACAAGATATGTTGGATTATTTATTAATGATCGAGTTCTAAACTAAATGAAATAGCTTCTCAGAGTTCAAACTTTAAGCAATGGCAAGAAACATACGAGCAATGTAAGAGACAATGTTGCAGCAACTAAACAGATAACGAGCAATTCACATCTCAATTCAATACTAAGAAAGAGGGAGTTGAATACCTATTATATTTTATTGATTTAAGATTGGACAACGGAGTCCATTTTTTGATCGACAATATTAAAAAAGATGAAGTGAAAATCCTTCCAAGTTCTGTTCGAATACTTGCGTCTTTCCATTGTCCAGAAATATAACGTAAAATGAATTTAGATAGCACTAAAAATGACTCAGTTTGTCAATTGTCCTGTCTAATACCGTCGATTTCAATACAACAAACATGTCATCATTTTCAATGAATATCGGTTAGCCTTCTTGCATGAAATAAGCTAATAATTGAAAGAGAAACATTAGCAGAAAGAAGAAGCATTTGAAAAGGAAAATGGAATATAGGATTCATCCTCATCAATTTCTTCAAAACATCAAACAAGGCTTGATCTATAATAAGGCATCACATTTCAGAAGCTCTTGCTCTACACTACAGTGTACTCATATTGTATAGATAGTTTGTAGTAATTAGTCAAGAAATGCACCTCTAGATTAATTTTGTCCCCAAGCAGATTCCTGATTAAATCCCGAAAGGATATCTATTGATTCTCTTTTGACTTGTTGGACAGAATGTAGGCGCGCGATTTACTTCACGAGAGTCGGAAGTCGATCAATTGTGGAGTGGGGGATGGGTCTTTGGTGGTAAATAATCCAAGTTAAATCCTGGATCTTTTTGTCCTCTTTTCTTATGAGGCATTCTCCAAGACATAGACTGATCAGTTTGAGTGTCACCTGGTACTATTACTCTCTTCTTAGTACTTGTCTTGAGATTGTATTCCTCTACTTTCTTTTCCTTCAATGTGGTTTCCTTTTTGGCTGTTGATATCGAAGATTTCACGTCAGATTTAATTGAAACCTTAGCGAGATTGAACTTGTCATCGTTCTGCATTAAAACCACGAGTCACAAAATCAGTAATTACGATATTTGAAGAATGTTTGGTACAATAGAGCGAACAAGAGTATACAAGATAGCGAAGAATGGCTCTCTTCTTTAATCATCGTGTCCACTCGTATTCAATCCAATGTACTAAACTAGCCCCGTATGGCTAAATAATTGTCATTAGCAACTTGAACAAACCTCTGTAGTAAAGAAAAATCTATTTGTAGCCTCCTTGTTGATCACACCAAAATTTCTAGCATTGCATGCATGGAGAGAAGAACATAAAAGAACAAGAACAAGAGAGGATATGAAAGACATTTGTACCAAGAAATAAACAAACAAAGAATTAAATAAGATTTTGGAGTACTCAATGGATTCTTTTGCAGAAGAGTAACATTAACAATTTTTCATATCGGCCGAGCTCAAGATCAACGTCATGAAAACCTTATATTTTCCGAGGGGTGTTCTATAATGTATAAACTAAGATGAAAAATGTGGATATGGATAGGGCCTCACATAGATCACCCACAACCGAGAAACTGAAGCAAGCCAATTGCTTAATGTTTAAAGAACCAATGAAAGATTTTAAAAGAGAGATTTTCTTGAATATATATACATATATGTATGTATATGTATTTAAAAGGAACAAAGAGATACAAAAAAGCAAGAGCCTGTCCATTTGTTTCCACCAAGGAACTCTAATTCCTTGTCTTCTGCATGACAAGTTTTTGTGTCCAATAGCATACCCCTACCCCTACCCCTACCCCTACCCCTACTCAACCCCATTCCCCATCCCCACGCCAACACTCCCCACTATGCATGTTTGTTACATTGGGAAAATCTACCTCGACCAGTGATAAAAAGTGAGAAGCCTTTTTAGGATTAAGAAACACCAAGACAATACTTGTATGTCTTGTACCCTACATTCTAAATTTAAGGAGTGATTAATTAGTTTAGTATTCAAAGATTGCATGATTTTATACTTTGAAGTGATCAAAGAGCAATTATTTTAAATTAATTAGTTAGAGTGGAAATCCTGCTAATCAATGCTACTTTCAATTAAATTAACATGGTTAACACAATTAGAGTTCAAAACGCAACAACTAAACCACTTCTTTGAAATTTATCTTTTATCAAACTATAGACAAGTCCATATTCCGAGAGGCCATCAAATGGGCTGACCAATCTGGAGAGCCGGATCATGCGCGACCCAGCCATCAAAAAGAAATATTGTCGGGCCCAGTTTCTCATCGCTACTCGCGAGTCTTATAAAATCTCTAGCCGTGCTGTGTCATGAGTCATGCTAAGTGCAAATGATCTTGTATCACTTTTATGTAAATACGAAAATGGTGCCATGCACTCGTATGTTTCTTGAACTAGTCGAAATTATATCGAATCTCTACAAAAGTGGGCTAACTTGTATAGTTCTACTCACTACAACAAAAGTAGCTTTTGACAGCATTCATTTAAAGCGTGCATATGAAGCATGCTGTAAAAATAGACTATTTGCTGCATGCCTTAAACGTCTGTTGTAATAATTTAATTACTTAAAGTATTTATAGTATACATTTTGGGTATGTCGTAAAATTGAATATTTACGACGTAATTTTCAAGCATGTCGTATAGATTGATAAAGAGAATATATGTAATTTTTAAATTTTTTAAAAGATGAAATATTTCCGACGTGCGATAATATATGCCCTAAAAAAGAATTTCCGATACTGATATTGCACGCTGAAAAATGTAAGATAAAAAATGAGATTTTTATGGCTTGCAATTGTGCATGCCATAAAAAAATAAGATAGAAAAATGAGGTTGCTATGGCATGCATATCTGAATTCCATAACAAAATTTACCCTTTATTATTATTATTTTTTATTTCGCTTTCTTATCTTTCTTTCCTTTTCTTTTTCTTTTCTTTCCTTTTTGTTTTTTCCTTTCTTCCCCAGGATCCGTTTTCCTCCTTTTCTTTCTTTTTACTTTTTGTTTTGTTTTCATTCTTTTCCTCACTGCCTAATCGATCTTATTTACATATTTCATCTTGTAGCATCGTCATCAGTCGGCCATTCATTGCAGTCCAAACCATTATCCCTTTTGCAAAAACCCTTTTCTCTCCCCTTCTCCACCAAATCAACTCCTTTACGATTTTCTCGAAATCAGAATGTACATCTGTGTCTGCTGATTGTGGTGCTAGAGAATCTCGGAGCAAGCTTTAATTATTTACAGATTGTTCGGGTCTAGAGTGTTTTTGGTCTCTGATTGGAATCAATTAATGGCCATGAATGTGATTTTTCATGAAAATATATTTCGATGTAAAATCGTTGCAAGTGTATGGTTCGTTAACAATTAATAAAATGGATTTTAAGTGTGAATATTGTCCCACAATGATTGATTTAGTTCAATTTCTATTACGGTGACTTTAACGAAACAATAGTGAGGGTGTTTGTTGTGATATAAATTATAACTAAACTATATTATGTATGCAATTATAAATGCTTTAACTAACTAAATGCAAGTTGAAATGTTCTAAAGAATAATAAATGTACTAGGATTGCAAATCTACATGCAATAATCCCTTTAAATTTAGTTTTATACTTTGACAACACGGTTGAATTTTGACGAATCAATGCTCCTATTTTATACAACAATCTTTCTCGAGAAATGTTGAACCTATTATCATATATAATTCGACTATATTTCTACGACGGATGTGAACACACAAAAATGCATGAATTTTTATGAACACTTAAAGATTCATATGGAGCATGGCAGTATATTTTTATCCCTTATTGACCCTACGACGATTTTACCATGTTGAGCCTATTCTTCTTCTTTCGAATGCATGAAGCAAGCCACCAAATCTTCACAATCACGTGCACAATAATTGTGGAAAAAATAAATTCATATAAACCAATCAAATTCCAAAAACGTGTTCCTAATATCAACAATGTAAAATTAAAGATTAAAAAGTCATATCATATGGTTCGTTATTCTCTTAGCACAAACAAATCTAACCTAGCATGATGAAAAGAAGAAAACGAACTGAATAATAAAAAAAATACATCACCAATTTCAATCTTGAATTGCATTTGTGCATTTTGGTGTCAATCTTTACGTTCTTGCCTCTTTTCTTATGAACGTCCCTAGGGCTTTAAAAGACATCTTAAAATTTGATTTCATAAGAATTTCAGTAAGATAAAAAAACTAGAATTTTTGGCTTTGACTGCCTAGACAAAACACAAGCAGTTGCCCAATCTAAACTTTTAAGCCTCAGTATTTGTTCTTCGTGATTAGGCGATCGCTCGGCCTATATAACTGGGCAGTCGTCCAGTTATATTAACTTTCAAATGTTGCATTTTAGTCATCGAACTCCGTTTTCTCATTTTTTGACCTTTTTTTTTCTCATATCTTCTTTTTCCAATATTCTATGTCTTCTATGAATTGGCCTTCAAATCTTTCACATCTTCATTTTGTCTTCCAAGTCATCTTTTGGTTATTTGCATTTTGGTTAAAATTTTATTTTCATCCATTTTGGTCCTTTTTTGCTTCTTTTTCCTAGATTCTACTATATTCATCAATGTTTTCTTACAAAATATAATTTATATAGAATTAAACCATGTTTCAACATATTTGTCAACAACTATTCATATTTTGTGGTCAAGATAAAGTGTATAAAATGCACTTATAAAACCTTCCAAACTTGAACTATTGTTTGTTCTCAAACAAAACTGTAGCTTAACTCAATACAAAACATGGTTTGACAAACTGCTGTGTCTTAAAATTGGAATTCAGTAATCAACATAATGGAAAGTTTCAATAGTACCAAATCAAATCAGCCTCCACCTGTTATTTGATAACCTGACGTGTGTGTGTAAACTCATATGAACGTATCAAGCGTATCATTGGTTCAAATCCCAATCTGTAGTGGTCAAGTACTTTCTTTCTTTGCTCGAGAGATACACATCCCAAACTTATTTTTTTCACTCAATTTTCTCAAAGTGGGTTCTAAGGTTGAAATTTAGTTAATTCTATTCCTTATCCTCTCTTAGTTTGAACAGACCTTACTATTACAAGTTCACCATTCAATAAGTGGATGTTCTCCTATTTTTGATTACTTCAACCTTTAAGAATAAAACTAAGCTACTTGCTCTCATTTAAGGTATAGTTTTATCAACCAAATGTCTTGGGGCTTAATTAATGCAATTGTGTCTTTTCTCACTTATACTTATTTTCTCTCTTTTTTTGTTCTTTTTTGGCATCTTCTTATTTGCTTTCTATATAACTCATGTTGCGACTCCTAAGTCAGTTGACCTTAGGGCACTAGGTTTTAAATCCTTCCCCTTATTAACTTGAGTTGTAAAGGCTTGAGAAGATGATTTTTTTATTAGTTTCTCCACCTCGTGCTTTCTATATGACCCTCTTTAGTGAGCTTTAGGCCGGTGACTTCCAAGCCAGTTGACCTTAGGGCACCAGAGTTTCAATTACCTTTAGAGGCTTACTTCCTCGAGTCATAAAGGCTTTAAGAAAAATATTATTCACACACAGATTAATGTTAGGCCCCTTTTCTTTTAGACAATTAGTTTCCATAATCAACCCCTAACTTAAGACTTTTACGTCATCTTCACTTCGCTGGTTTTTGACAATCTACACAAGATAATTTCTTGCACGAAAACTCTACTCACCTCAATGTTCCCTTGTAACAGCTCAACCATCTCCAAATTACTGAAACAATGGATTATGGATAAGTACAATAGAAGTTTTTTAGGGTTAACCTATTATGTTCAACTCTTTTCTAAATAATGAATCAAATCACCAACTTAACAAGTAAAACATGAGTGTTGTGCAGAGAGAATGTCAAATTTCACATAAATAAGTATTGGCTACTCTAATCATGCACTTTTTTCACTATCCCTAGTCCATACCTATTCCAACATTCAACATTATTGGCGGCAAGACTATCAAACCCACACAAGCACACAAAATAACAAATAAGAATAAGTAAAATTTACTATTTTTTTATTTTCATTTTTTCATACAGAAAGCAGTAAATTATACACAAATATCAATGAATGCTAATGCTGTTGTAAATATTATGTCATTCCAAACTTATATAAAACACTGTCCTTAATGTAAACGCAAAATTAATCAAAACAAAGTAGTAAAGATCATAAACTCCTTGGGGTAGATGCGGATAGGTAGAAGGATCAGGTTGGTCCAATTAGTAGATATCATGACAACCACCATTTTTTTTTGTTACTAGGCTACAATTTTTTGTTTCAAGAATTCAAAATAAATACTAATGATAGCAAATAAGGTTATTCATACCAAAAAGAATTATAATCTTCTGATATTAAGTAGATTGAAATCTAGGTACAACTTTAAAAATGCATATCATACCAATG